GTCATCTGCTTTACGGCAAGCAGTTGGCGACCACGTCACAGTACTATAATTAGTGCCTCCATGGATGAGGATGATGTATACAATTCTATGAGACACATGTGCTGCCAACCCAACATTATGCTGTACATTGATGTTAAAAGTTGTGAATGGTAAAACAGTATCATTTAATAACACTCCGCTCTAATCAAGGTACAGCTTACATGATTGGCTATTATCTTCGCTCCCGGGTAGCGCGAACGAACTCATTCGCTGTGCGATTGCCCCCACGGACTCGTAGCGTCACAACTTTCTCTTTGCGAGGTGGCACTCCGTTGTACTTGTACCACTTGCCGTCTTATTGATGACAGTCTAAATAAGTGTCCATCCTATTGAAGGATGGAGTACAAACTTCCCGATAAGTTTTTGTCGTAGCATGGTCCTATGAAGATAATAGGCGACTCAAGTGGTAAGAACGGTGATGAAATATTCACCATCTATTAAAATGAGCTGGTGAGACACGTCCGAAACATCTTAATCAGGCGTCTATGGATGCAATAGGACCGAATTTTAATTGATTGCTTGCGCTGTTATGTATCAGAAATTAACTTGTGGGGGAGTTGGCAAATGAAAAGTGTATAAAGTAATTTGAGGGCAATTTTATAACAGCTGTATAATTCTATTGTCCTCTTTTGAAACTCCCATCCTCGTAATTCAGTTAGTCTTCTCTTATTTTTTTTGGAAGCTGTCTGCTTCATGCAGCCTCACAAGCTTATGTACAAATACAAGTTGTCATTCGTTTCAGTCTCCCCTTGATGTGTTCCTATGGCTCCTTTAATTATTCTGTTCTTGCGCATTCTTTCGTTCCAAATCTTAAATCAAACGCCTAATTTTGTCTATGTGCTTGATTCTTCTCTTGTTTCCACTAAGTGTCATGTTTTGGACAGCCATACCACTTCACCAGATATGTTTTCTTTCGATTCGCTTACTATATTTTCTCTGGGGCTGAGAAACATGTTATTTTTGTTTAATCTATAGAATCGAAGGTTTACACAAGCTGCTTACTGGGTATTGGCATTTCAATGTATACTTACCTTCGACTCCCTCGTCGTTGATATGCCCTGACGTAAATGAATCATGATATCTCAACACAAGAGATTTAAGTCGATAAATAAAGAGTAAGTTACACTGCAATGCTATTTCCAAGTAGCTAACTTTAAATGAACACTTCTGACCTTTTACTATTTTCTTCTCCATCGACCACTACTATCTTGATCAGCTGCAATGATACATTCAGGGGTATCTTGTATCTCAACTACAATAGCACACATGTCCAAGTCTTGCGAATACATACCCGACGTCACCCTTACCAGCGCGGATGGATTCTAAAGTAGGGTTATAGTCCTGATGATAAAAAGTTTAACTCGACTTTCATAGTCGAGGTGACTCAACTGCATGAATGCCACCGCATTTAGTTAAACTGTATCCCAAGGTATATATGTCAAAGATGTATTGATGTCTTGCTATGCTCTGTGGACACATATATGTGGCTATGCGCAAAGACACATCGTATGTATACAGTGAAGCAGATGCACACTAACCTTGGCAGTAATATACTTTCCTGCGATAATCTCCTGTCATGGCCCGGGCAATCCTTTTTTGTGGCGTCTAGGGGACGAGGCTCAAAATGTGATTACGTGATATGCCTATTCGCATCTGCTTGAAAAGTAGCACAGCCTCTCGCAACGGTTGAATATCAAAGACGACGTAAAATGGCCGATCTGGGTTTGGAGGAGCCAGAGTCGGGGTACGCATAAGGCTTTACTTCATAGTCTTGGAGCCCTCTCTTCTGCCACACAACAGCATCGATTGCTATTATTTTTAGGTCACTGGAAAAGGGTCGTCATTGTTTTCATTGTTCTTGTGCAAGTAGTCGGTCGAACCAAGCCACTTCCTCAAATTCTGGTGCAACAGGGGCCTCTTCTAGCCTTGATCGTTGCAAGATATGTCCACAGGCAATAGCTTTCAATGAAGCAACCCATCAAAGGAATCTCGTCGGTGCCATGAACACACTTTTGAAATTTATACACTCGAGCCATGCTGCAGCGTTCAATGCAGCTTTCCATATCCGACGTCTCGTACTAGGAACTAATAAATTATCGAATTGGTTTTCGTATCATCACAATATGGCCTGACCAGCTGCATTATCAGACTATTAAATGTCACTGATGCATTGGCCAGTCTCTCAGCCAATATCGGAGTATTTCGCTTGGTGTACTTACCACAGTAAGAACAGTTGATAATAATCAGTAGCTGGGTCAAGAGTACTTAACAGATCATGCTGCTTTGCGGCACATCCTCTCTCGAATTAGCGTTTGTGCGGAACCGTGGCTGCATTTCATGCATTTAAAACACACGCATTTCGCCTCTTGCGGTAAGACTTTTTGAAGCAAAATGTGTGAATCTTTTCATGCTCTCTCCAGACCCATTTCGTGCTTCGCCCGGATAAATACGTCAGTAACGTTACACTGATCAATTGGTAAAGGTCGATGGCGGTGGCACAGTATTTGGTCCCAAAAGCAAGTCAAGCTGCTGATCTACTCTTATTGTCTATAATCCACGTGTACACACATACCTCAGTATTGCAACATGTCTTGTCATCATGTCGTAATATGTCTTCATCAATGATAAGATTTGTAAGGTCCTTGAGAATAGCTGTTCCGATCGTAGTGAGTAATTTTAACGACACATTCATCGATGACGGATGATGAATGCATATATTTCTATGTCAACCGTACCACGTCATGACTTTACCGTCCTGCATCCTTGTATATATCCCAAGGATGATTCTACATAATCACGGATTTTGCCGGAGGTTTTAAGCGGGACTTCTATGACTAGCCTACTGCAGTCACCTTGGTCACGAGTTATTGCCATTACCCAGGAAATGTCAGCGCTCCGCACAATCAGCCTGTCACACGGTAGTGCTGACACAACAATATTATCAAATTGTAATAGGGATAAATCATTGCTCTTGTCTCCAGGGTCCGCGCTTCACCTCACGAATAGCGAGTGTATTTTACCTTCACAGGCTCTTATGTAAAAGGCTGTGGTGCCCATGGCTTCCATTCGTAACCAGTCATGACGCAGGAGACATTAGCTTCCATCTCTTTAAGTCCGTTCTGCCAGAGAGATACCATATGGTCACAATATACTGTCATTCATTTCAATCCCTTTCGCGAACTCGGCCCATTGCAACTCTGCTTACCAAGCTATTTGCGAAGCACTTAACTATACCATTGTTGTCATCTATGGATAAATTCATGTCCTGCATAAATGCTATTGTAGCTGTGTGCCCGCACGTGCAATTTTCCTCGGGCATAATTGAGAGCACGACTCTCCGAGCCACCGTCAGGAGACAAGACCTTAGCGCCTAGTCTCTTCGATTTTCAGTCGACCCATAGATTCTGACATTACAGCCACACTATACATTGAATGAGATCGCTTTTTTTTCAGGTCCAGGACGAGACAATCATTCAGACTGCCAGAGTCCTCAAACTTTGCTGTAAGGCGGATCTTCTTCACTTTCACTAGTGTCCTTTTCGCAAGATGCGCGGATATCATATCCGTATTCGACATTGTCAATGGCTGTGCGTACTGGCTCTGTTTTTGACAGTCGAGTACTTATGTAACCACACGACGCGTCTGAATCCATCAAGACTTTCCACGACTTCACAAAGCCCAAGGAGCTGAAATAAGCCCACCGACAGTCCTAATCTGTAAGCTATTCATCTCTTTAAGGAAGTTGATCCTTATAAAGATAGATCGCATTAACTACGCCACCATAAGTCACAATAGATCCCAACTTCTATTCTGATGGACTACCATGCGCCTCCAAGCGCGACGTTTCCGCGTGATAGATTCAACGGGTAAACTTCTGTGAGAGTCTGACCATTTAAAAGCAAAGGAGGCACGCCAGGTGCAGCTGTTTTTGTTTTTCTGTATATGTAACAGCTGGAGTACCACGACGCTACACAACAGCTAAATTGTGTGTGTATTTCTTCCTCCTCGGCCCTTCTCAAAATGGCTGAGGCCCATCGTCTCTGGGCGCGCTCGTAAAGCTTTCACATCTCTTACGCCATCCGGCCCGCAGGATTACAAAGTTGTTCTTTGCATTCAATGTAACACCCACCGCTTTTGAAAAGTGGTAGGCTCGACGCGGAAGCTATCAAGTCACCCGTTTGGAGACTATCCATAACGAAAAATATTGTTATTGCCTCTGTAGGAGGGGAATACGCCATTGCGGTGATACGAATTGGGCGTATTGCGCAAGAACGTCGAGCGCAAAAGATTCATCCGCTTAGTGGTGCAAATGCCCTCAACATTTGCTGCTTCTGAAGTTTCATGTTAGAGATACTGAACGCCAGCCCTGGGGATGGGCACTTTATTGCAGTATCTCTGGAAGTGACCTGACGGTGAAATCACAATCGGCTTTCACCGACGCTTGATCAAGCATAAACAGAAGTGTATTTTTATTGTTGCTTACGCTCTCAGATACACATTTACTGCGATCAACCCTTGGTCCGCCAATCTACTCAACCCATCGGGAATAACTAAAGCCATGAGCTTATTCAGCCTGTCTATTTGTCCGAAAGGTAGATAGTCGAGCACCCGAGTTCCATTTGCAAAGTGTATACAGTCTTTTCACGACTTGGTTGTCGAATTCACAACAGATTCTGCCAATTGCAACGAGTTACCGCGCACCTTACGTCGAGAATTGTTTTGGCTCAAATAATTTAGAAATGAGTATGATTATAGTTTATCCGCTGCCGCCAGAATAAAGCAAGAGAATCCATCTCGTAATTATTAACATATGATGTGCTGCTGTTTCGAGAGTGGTATCTATTTACGGTTTATTTACTTAGTCTAATATCATCAAAGCGTATTTCCGATAATAAAGTGTCTGTTCGCTTGTGCGAGAAACTAGACTTGCAGCCTACGTGCCCCACGGATTCCTCAATGTTTTAGAAAATCTCTCCGCTTTCATTAGCACCAGTTTTTCGATCCAGCTAAGCTCAGCACAATTTCACAAAATCGTTATCTGTATACACAAAATTGCACGAAATCGCATTTCTACAGCTGTTGCAGATATCACGTCCACGAAAGAATACTTTGCATTCCTATGCAATTCTTTAAAGATGTCGCCCCTATGTGCCTGCACCAATTCGCTTTTTTGTTCTAACACAGGAGTACCCATCAGTGTCGTGGTAATCAATGTCTTCAGCGTTTAGTCGATCAATGGTCTTTTAGTTTTCAAGCCACATCATACCTAAGAAGAGATCATAATTTGAAGCCAGGTGTGGGATCAAACAGCATCAACGTTGTTGAAGCGTTCAAGCATAATTGAAGATAAAAAAAATTGCACTCTATACGTGCCTTCCGTCGCGGAGCCACTAATATGATGTCATCACTCAGCATATCGGTGTCTTTGTGTGTTTTTATATCGCGCGTCGCATGGTATGACTCAACACTCCTCATTCTACCGCAATTTTCTATATACCACAATACCCAGGACGTTGATGTTAGCAAGCTACAACTTTAATGCTGTGGGTCGTACCTCTCTCTAAGTCAAATGTCACTGAAGTAAATTTATGATGATGTTGATTTTTAAAAAAGGTATCACATATGTGCGCCATTTTTGAGTGCGACCTCATAGCTTGGAGATCGGTGGCGCGACATACAGCTGCTCCATCAAAAGCTGAACAGGATACATGGCCATCTTTACCACTCGTACCCGTAGATGATGACTTTACGCTTCTTTTGAAAAAGAATTCGCCGGTAAACCAAAGCAATCGCGTTCTATAGATCTCTGTGTGAGTCGGTCGTGTATCAACATACGCCTGAAAGAGTCGTTTTGGGGCATCTTACAACTATATTTTCATGTTTCTTGAAAACCTTCCGGTGATGAATAACCTCTTCTGGAAATCTGAAAGATGAGAAAAAATACCGAACTTCTCTTTCACAACAATTAGCAGATTTATATATTCAATAATTGAATTTACAGGTTGTAATTCATTCTATCCCTTCAGGACCGACTAAAGTCCATCGCATGTACAGCGTGTCTTGTTGCCCAAAAGACAGATGAAGAGTATATCGTTTTTTAAAGATGCAATCTTAGTTGATTCGGGCTCGGGATCTTCGAAAGGCGCTAATATTTACAGCGTACTTACCGTGCACCTAACAAGTGTGAGCTTTATTTTGCATGTCTGCGTTACTCGACGCATACTTGATGGGTTAATTGGCCATTCAAAATCATTCAGCCGAGATCCTATCAAGTAACTTTTGCTTCTTCATTCTGATCGAGGGGCGAGTTATCTAGTGTTTGAGTAAGCTGAAATGATACAAAATGCATATCTGCTCTACCATAAAAAATACAACGCATCGTGTGAGATAAGCAGTCCACACCTACACATATTTCTTTTTGCCTGAGTAATTGTTATAAAAACTTAGTAAGTGTTGAAATATTTTCTTGAAAGCTGGGCTATTAACCCAGAAATTGAGGAGTGGTTTGGAGCCTGTTTAATCATCAAGTTCTTGTATTTAGACAATTACGCCGATTGAGGAACATATTCACCTAGCAAATGAGCTGATAAAGGCATCGTCGAACGTATTGCTAATTTTTCCCAGATCTATTCGAAATACAGGAAAACATTCCCCGGTGAATTCATTTCTGAATGGGTTCAATCTCTTTATGATTCTTTCTGTACAATCGTAGTATCTATATCTGTACATTTTATCAGCTGCTGGATACGTATGACTCCCAGCACTTCCGGCTGCGTCATTTTTGCAATAAGAAGGAATTTTGAGGGCGGTAAATTTTATGCGGCCTCCAAGCTTGGACGAAAAGATTCTCTCGGTCCATGCCTTTAAAGAACAAAAACGTTTAACGCCAGCGATCTAAATCTATCCTTTAACAATTTCCAGTTGGAACGTGTCTTGCCAGCATACGCTCAGCGAAAGTGATCGCCTCCAGGCTACAATTACCGCCTTCAGTCCTCTGGACACCAGTATTTACGTTGGACCAACAAAACACATAATCCAATCCACTTTTCCCGGGATCACGTTCTCGGACATCTCGCGTTCTCTTCTTGTAGATGATAAATTTCTTTGCGACTTGGTACTGGGTTTGTCATCAAGTCGTACTAGGTGCAACGGAGCTGTCGTGCACATTGCACGAAAGAAGCTTCATCCCCCAAAGATTCCGTGTCGACGTCGTTCGCCCCGAGAGTAGAACCGAGAGATTCTACCGTAACTGCCGTCAAGCTGTTTTGAAAGTATATGTAACGGGGTTACAAGGGCCCTTGTAAGAAAGCTTGTGCGACCGTTAATATGTGTGTGTTACACAGTTAGTATGATCACTCAGTGGTGTGGCTACACCGTAACGAGAAGCACCACGTGGCAGGATTGCCAGTGGTAATGCATATTACTATCTAAATTAGGATTTTTGCTACATTAATTAGTTATTACTATATTAATTAGAAAAACCTATGTTTTTAGATAATGGCGGCTCTGCCGCAACTAAAACGATTACACACCATTTCAATTTTGGACAGAAGTGTTCGATTGCCTTGGTGAGGCTTTAGTACCTAGAATTAGCGGATTGCGACCCGCTACATTTGCACTGGTTCTTAGAAAGAACGTAAGGTCGGTGAACTTAGCTTAGCTTCCTTAAAGCAAAGAGCTACGGCAGCCCCGCTGCAGTACGTATATATAAATGAATGTTACCTAGACCAACACAAAAGATATCCGTTATGCAATCTCTTACCTTGATGCATTTGTTGCCTGATGTGCAGTGAGCGGCTAACGCTTACCACGGACCTTTTCTGACGATATACCTTTTGATGATCACTCAAAAGCGCGTTGTGAAATTCGTACAAGTGTACAATATTATGTTCTGTAGATTTGTACGAAAGTATAAAATGTATGCTTACAATAGTACGTGCCCCGCCCGAAATTCGAATAATAATCGTAAAGAAGGCAAACTATTCTGGTGTCATAACACTTTCACAGGCAGTAAGCCAAATACCACATGATGCCTGTGCTCTCAGTATCAGTCTAAAATTCGAAGTTGCTGCGGAATATACTGGTACAAATATATTATACTACTGAAGGTATTATATTTGGCAGCAACTTCAGCTTATTGTACTATAGTACAATGTACATACAATTTTCAAAAATAATCTTAATTACGTGGGGCTTACAATATAGTACTATATTGTACTAAAATAAGGTACTATAATAAAGTACTTACAATACTTGTACTTTATTGTAAGTACTTTACGAAAATAATTTTGATTTACCTGGGGCCTACTTACTTTATTGTAATTTACGTTATTGTAAGTAAGCCAGGTAAATTAAAATTATTTTCGAGAATTGTATGCTAAGAGCTAAGCAGCTTCTTACTATAGTAGATCATCGGTAAGTCATTGACTATTATTACGTATTTGCTCAGTGGTTTACATGCGCCGCAACATTTTTTTCAGCTGGAATTAGAATCGGGTCTCCGTTTAGGACTTAGCGATATTTGGTTTTGCCCGCTGATGACATCACAAATATAAGAGGCAGAATCAGACTCATATACATTAACTGTTCGACTATACAGTAACCGTTGCAATTGTAAAGCTAAAGCCTTTATCCAAGCCCGGCTAAACTTATACGTCATCAGCGAAACCGCAACATAACGGGTCCGTTTTATAAGTAAAGGCCGGCATTGAAGTTTGAAGAGTGCCCTTGTGATTAGTATCTAAGAATATTCTTGAAAAATGTGTGCTTTCATTGCATAACAAGATAAAGCACGAAACTACTTGACTAAGAAACAGAATGAACACAAACACTTGTCTTATATAAAATGAATAGTATATGTTAAATTCCCAGTCGTAAATGTGGGGCCAAACATGCCATGCACAGGAATTGCACAATATTTTATTTTGGATTTACCATGTCTACATATTTTGACACCCTTATTTGGTAGTGTGTCTGGAGTAATTTGCGCTATTTGCGTATATTTGGCAAGAACATAGTCCCATAACTAAATCTCACATGGCCTTAAAATTTGTATGAATAACGATATTTGTTAAACGCAACAAAAAAATTGGTTCTTACGGTTAGTCATGCGTGAAAACTTGTTGCGCCACGCATCTTTGCCGTCGCACTAATTGTTTCTTCTGCACAAATTGCACAGATTCACTTTACCTATTTGTTCCATAATTTTAACCATAGCAGATCAATATTAGCGCCTTTTGTAAAAGAAAGACAATATTTGTCACATTTTGTATGTGTCTAATGTCACATGGACCTTCGTACTCTATTGCATCTCATCTTTGGTATGTTCTGGCAAAATGGAGGAAGAAGAAGTAAAAGCTGGAGAGCCGTTGATGAAGGTCGTGCAGGGGATGCAGAGAACAATTATTGTCACGGCTCCGTACAATGTAGAAATGGAGAATCAGGTGCAAACATTAGATGTGGAGGAACTTGGCTCAGCGGCGGCTTTGCAGGCCCCACACATGAGGCAGAAAAACAGAATTATTGTGGACTACGAGGAAAACGATGAATATCGACCGGAATTGCAACAAGAAGAGGTCGCGTGTGTTTTAAGTGCCTGTGGTCCTGTGCTGACGATTGATTCAAGCAATGGACGCTTTCTTGCGAATCGTCGGTCGCGTTGCAGCAGCTCAGACACAAACGCAAGTGACGTAGCAAAGGGAAAGAGTGTAATTTATAAGCAGATTGGAAAGCCTACTGCCAGTATTACGTCGTCCAGTAACTCGGAAATTGATCTAGATGGGCAGACCCGGTGTTCCAAAGTCCCTAAACTTTGCATGTGCGAGGTAAAACTGCACTGCTCGCTTGACTCGTGCTGGCTTGTGTCCAGTGGTCAGGTTTATGACGTCACAGGGCAGGTGACAGATCATCCAGGGGGAGTGCGCTCAATTCTTCGCAAAGCTGGCGGTCCAGATTGTGCACGGGATATGAAATTTCACAGCAAAAATGCTAGAAAGATTATGGAGAAATGTTTTATCGGCAAGCTCCGGCAGTGCGGCGATGATGTCGATTGCTCTACAGAAGTTAATTGTATTATTATGTAACTGAAGTAAATTGATAGACTTAGACACGACGGGTCACGCTTTGCTTCATGTGTGATTTGGATGAAGCGTAGACTAACCACATCAATGTTTGTCGCTTACGCACCCTGCCTCAATCGGTGAAATTCACAAAAACCTGCTTGATTTGCAGCAAATGAAAGGTATGATCGCCGTTACTCAAGTAAACTGCTTCATAAACTCGGTAGCGACAATGCGACCGCGCGCATTAAGCGAAATCTTCATTTCACTAATTTCTTTGTCAATGTCCTCCATAAAAGTGATGATAAAGTCAATAAGCTTGTGCTTGTACATATTTTCAAGGTGCTGGTGCACTACGAGAAAACTCATGTCGTAGCCGTCCACCGCTACCCGCCGCATAATTATAAACTGTTCGGCGCGCTGCATCAGAAAGCGATTGAACTTGTGGCTCAAGATTGTCTCAATCTCGTCCGCTTTTTTAATGCAAATACTCACGCGAGTTGCATTTACGGACGGCTCAATCAGGCACTTTTCCTGTTCATTGCGGCAGATAAGTACAGGATTCAACAGTAGTTCCTTGCTCATCCTAGACCAATCAAACTAATTATCAGATTATCTTCGTTATACCGAAAGAGGGCACGTACTGTAGCTCGACTTCAGGTTTGTTGTGGCGTTCCACTGTTTGTGATGGGAAGTTGCGTAGACACAGCGCCGAGTCCAGCGAGCTACGAATAGCTCCAAGGTAGGGGGCGAGCGTATTAGCCTGCAGTGCATTATATTGTTATAGACGGAGATGGCCAAGTGGAACTTAGGGGGGATACTCACCATGTTATTTAAGACGCAATCTGACTATGAAAGCCTTCTATTGTCAAACGTAACAAACAATGAAGCAATCTTAGAAAGCGGTAAGCATACCCAAACCAAGTGATTTGATTCCAGCACGCAATATTTTATACAGTTGACTCTTACTATTTGACAATATTGTCACCATATTGTGCCGCAAATAAACAACATTGTGATGTGATTGGTAGCGGTTTTGCAAACGAATGGAATTTTAAGACCAAATGGCCCATAGGTCATTATTACAATAATAGCTAAGGGCGACACATGAGATCCGTACTGTATTATTGCTTACGCATACATTACAAGATATAATATTATATTGTGTTATTGTCATGGAAAAACTTATGTACTCACATTATGAACCTCTTGTACAATTGCAGGTGTTGTTGTAAATACTCATAGATACCGAAGTGTCGATGTAACGGGTGACATATACCCTGGTATCAGGAGTGTGTGTCACACGAGATGGGCATGGTGTGACTGCACCCAAACAAGAATACAGTCTGTGGCTAGGTAGCCTGTAAAGGAATTACACGTACCCTGGTAACAGGAGTGTGTGTCACACGAGATGGGCATGGTGTGACTGCACCCAAACAAGCATACGGTATGTGACTAGTAGCCAGTAGTTATGCATGTATTGAGATATTACCATATATATATAGTATATTTAGAAAAATCTAAAAATTTAAAATTAGGCGGCTTTGCCGCAGATAAAAATAAATAAGAATTAGTTTTGAATCTAAGACGAAGAATCTATTAGCCTTAGTTAAGGTACTAACTACTCTTGGAGGTAGCGGATAGCGATCCGCTACACTCGTATTGGTTCTTGTAAAGAACGAAAGGTCGGTGACCTTACGCGTCCTCAAGCGCTAAGCTACGGCAGCCCCGCTGCACTTGGTAGCGCTT